GGGGGTGAAAGGGTTGGTTAACTGGGGCCCAGCAGCATTAAAAGTCTGTATATAACCATTCTCAGTGCTATTCGGTGCAGCAACGAATGGGGTAGATGTGACATAATTGGCACCGTCACATCTTCGCTGAGGAGGGCAAATAAACTCACCACCGGCTGCTGTCTCTTGTGTTAGGAAGGGGTTGGTACATGAGGAAGATGGCGGGGTGAGCGGCCAGGCCGCCACGTGCTGAGTTGGGGTACCGTTTGTCGGCACGTGGGCTGCCACCTCACCCGCTGCTAGCGTTAGCTCCATGCTAGTCAGAAAAGGGTTGGTGTTTTGTCCATAAAAATGTCCATTTCCTTGGTTAATCTCACACTGGCCAGCTCGTACAGTCTCCATTATATCCGAATAGAAGGGATTGGTGTTTACTCCATAAAAAGTCCGTCTCCGGTGGCCGCCATGTTGCTAGCTAGTCCGAGTTTCCCTCGCTTTTCCTCCGCGGAAACTCCGGCCGTCTTGGTGACAATAATCCCGGACGAGCCCCCAGTGTTACCTTTCCAGTCTCTCAGTTCCTAACCGTAGTACGGAACTTCTTCTTCCACACTGTAACTGTCATAGAGATAAGTGGTTTATTTGTTTATATTTTATATTGTTTATCTGCAAATAATGATTTGTAATATGACTATTGTTATACTGCCATCTGTTGATGGAGTCGTGTGTTGCACCTAACACGGACTGATCATGCGCTGAGTGCACGACAGGAAAGGAGAGATGCACGTTGTTGGAGGAAACGGAGCCAGGAAAACTTCGTCTTTAACCTAAAATATGAACAATAACATCTCCTAAATGTTTGGTGAGAAGACGCACACGGTATGTTTATTTGTCTTATTCTGTATAAAAACTTTATTTTGGATTGTTTGTTAGCTAACACCGTTTATATTGTTGTATGCAGTTTTCACGGTGTTTGCTAGCAGAAGAATAAACGCCAGTAAACATCAGTCGGAGCGTGGCTTTTATTCTGCACCGGACGAAGACCTTTGGGAGCGGTTATACACACAATTTTCTCGGCGAGCGGCATGTACACTTCTTTGCTGCGTGTTACGTCAGTTATTCTCCAAAACCCCTGCGGCTACGTGCTGATTACGTCACACGTCACCCCGGAAGCCGCCTACTTAAAGGGGATGCCCAAGCCGGTAAGTCATCATCTGACATGGTGGTGTATAATGCCCTCACTGAAAGACCAGACTCTGCCATCCGTCGATATACAGTCCGTCTGGATACACCCAAGAGTTTGGCGATGCATGGGACAGGGAGATGGAGTTCTAAAAGACTGCAAAGGTAGTCTGAGGATATGACCATCCGTTGTCGCCCAGCTGGTCCTTGCTCCATATGCACAACAATTGTTTGTTGTTTTTCACTTTGTTTTTCTAAATTAATTAGTCTGTGCAAATGAGCCAGCGCATCCAAAATAATTGAAAGAACATCTATCTGACAAGACATGGCATTTAAAAAAACTAGTTTTTGAGTGCAGATAAAGTCTAGGAAATCCAGATCCAGCGGCATATGTTCAAGAACATGCTCCAGACGATCACGGAGCCTATCAAAAATATGATCCAGCAAAATTTCTTTGAAAAGAGAAAAAAGAAAAAAACATGTTAAAAAAATGTCTGTAAAATAAAAAAGTATTTTGAAATCAGTTGGTCAGTATTGAGAAATCACAGTAATATAAATTAAATGATTACATTTGATCTAAAATAAGTTAACAGATGAAGTTACAAGCATATATTTTCTTGAAAATAAGTTAAAATCAACTGAAATAAACAAAGGGGTTTGTTTATAGTGTTGCTAGGTAACAGAACAAGGTTTTATACCGCAAAGTAAAAAGAATGTAAATTAATATTGTATATCAAAATTTGTCAGATAAGAGAAGCAGTATTTTGAATGACGTTGTAATGACAATAAATTTCTTAATTAATTCATAAATGAAGTCACCTAAACAATACAGTAGCTGATCAGAGTGGGGTCGGAAGTGTTCACAGCCCCTCTTTGAAGCACACAAGGCAGCCATATTAGCTTACTACATTAGCGGTAGCATCTCCTGAAAAATGACGACTTTACTAAGACTGCCTGTCTCAGTCTCACCTAAGACAACATACAAACAACCCAGAAAGTCACCACCCATCAGTTCTCTTTAAGGATTCTAGACGTGGCGCAAGTGGTATTTCTTTTTTAAATAAAACGGGGGAAATTGGGTAGGGGAGGAGGGGGGGGGGGTGCTAGGAGGTAGCGAGAAGTAATATGCCGGCACTACACGGTGTAAGATTAACAATGGCCCAAACTAGTGTTTTAAATCAGGCTTTAAGATAATGTATCAAACTTCATGCACAAAATCAAATCTACTACAGAAATATGAATTTTTAGACGCTGAATTTGAGACAGCAAATTTGAGCAACGAAAATATTGCATTTGAATTTTGAAAAGTTGAATTTTTTATATGCTGAATTTTTTAACACTGAAAATTTAAACTGTGAAAAATATGTATATTGAAAATTTTATCACTTTGAAATAGGAATGTGAATTTTTTTAATAACAGAAAATTGCAACCATGTAAAAAAAATTACACTGAATTTTTTTTTAATGTACAAATAATGACTGAATTTTTTTAGGTTAAAAATATATTCTGAATTTATTTTAATACTGAAAAAGTAAGCACTAATATACAACATTCAAATTTCAGAGGTATTTTTTATTCAAATTCTGATGGCACGTATTTACTTCCATAGGCTCACTCCTTTATGTAGAGCTCACTCCTTTATGTAGAGCTCACTCCTCTATGTAGAGCTCACTCCTTTATGTAGAGCT